TTAATTACGGCATGTTACGTGATTACAAAGTTTGCAAATGTTATTTGATGTAAATACTAGCTTTCGCCCGCGACTCCGTCCATGTGGTATAAAAAAATAAAACAAAAGTGAGTGTCTATGTGTTCTTCCAGATCATCCTCTACATCTATACCAAATGTCATCGAAATCCTTTCAGCCGTTTAGGCTACAAACTCTAACAAACATCTATCCATCTAAACTTTCGCATTTACATATAATATTAGCATATGTAGTATGATTTATTTTCGGTGACTTTTTGTATCGAAGTATGTAGGGTTTTCATTTTCTTTGTGACACATTAAAAGCTCTAAATGTTGTTTCAGATTTATTGTATCGCCAACCCAAGTGGATTGGTAAGTACATTGATAATTTAAAGGTATTAAATATTTTTTATTGTGTGACAACCCTGTCGTGTTTTAATAGCGTAATTATTTTACGGACTAAAATATAGCTTTAAGTGTGCGAATATAATAGTTTACGGTTCTGAAATGTCCCACTGCTATACACTGGTCTGGTCACGTTGTATGGACTCACGCGGAGTTTTCCACTTTCCGGTACATTATTGTGTTTGAGACGCCCCGCTGCCCGGTGAAAGCATTTCTATGACGTTAGTTGGGCTTTGAATAGGGTTGTCACCGTGTGCCGGTTTGACAGGATATTATATGTTGTTTTTTTTATATTTGTTATGATCGCCGCATTATTATGTTTATTAATATAACAGGAAAGATTTATGTTAATGACTTCCAAGAAGGAATTAAGTATACCTCTATTAAATATATTGAAGTAACTCCAAAACTATTGGGCCGATTGAAAAAATCTTTTACCATTATTACCGAGTAACATGTTACAATTCTTTTTTAATTTACGTGTTAACGAAAACACAATAGCTAGTAAAAGTGAAATATAGGTCCCAATATGCTTGCAATTTTTGATTAGCATGAGCTAATAGGGTTTGGTAAAAAAATTATACAATTTTAGTATCGAATAACTCATTTTAAATTTGTTTCTCTTTAAATCGAAATACCACGAAGTCATGGTATGTCATAAGACACCACGATGTTTAATATCGATGACTAATTCTGATAAAAGAATAAATGAATCGATGTTACAACATCGATTTATTTTTGCCGAGACGACTCGATTCGTTGTGATTCGATCCGACTTGATTATTATCGGCTCTTTTATGTATTTTTTATGTTTGGAACCGTGATACAAAATACATCAATATCGATTGGCATTTTTTTATGTTATTTAAATGTAAATAAAATATCAATTTTGTATTACAAAGTACACGTAGGGTTTTTGTTGCCTCACATTTTACACATCATACTTTTTACGTATACTATGCTTTCACGCTCGATTCCGTCCGCAAAGTAGCCTATGTGTTCTAGGCTACAGGCTCTAACAAACATCCGTCCATCCATGTATCTAAGGTTTCACATTTATGCCATTAGTAAGAAGTAAGATTATAAATGCGAAAGCTTGCATGAATGTTTGTTAGTACGTTTCTTGAAGACGGCTTAACGATGTCAAACGCACATGTGTAGAACATAGTATAGTTATGATTCAACTTGGACGCACTAGTTGGTAAAAGCTTATATTTTATTCATTTATGTTTTTAAATTCTCTTGGGTAATTGATTACCATAATCATATATTGTGTTTTCTTCAGTCAGTTACAAAGTAGTAGTTGAACGCAAAAATTTCAATTAGTTTGTTCTACCATCAATCCGTCTGGTTTGTAACCTTAAAACATGGTGTCCATTGAAAGAACTTTCATCTCGCTAATAAAAAATTAAAAAACAAAATTATTTAGCAAAGATTAAAAACAGGCGAAGACATGTGAAATTAGTCACACTTATCTTAAATGTCAGGTTGTTCCTTAATAAAGGTTTTAAGAAAGTAGGTTGATATTTGTCAAGATTAAGGGTCGAGACAATATAAAAATAAACACCTTTTTTTAAAAGCTGTTAAAGCGTTAGTTGGAACGTTTTTCACAACTGCTGGCCCACTTAGCCGGCAGGGCAACGAGTGAACCCCATTGTTTCGCGGCAACAGTTTTGCGTTTCGCACGTTTCTTTTATGAACTGCGCGAACAGAACGCAATTAATGTAATCTACGTTGTTGTTATGGGAGCTAATTAACTGTTTGTGTACAGTTAATCTTTGAGCTTAGGATGGCCAGATATACGTGGTATACCACGTATATTCACTCTATAGAGTGAATTTCTTTTATTTTTTTTAAAATAACAACACAATGAGATTAGTGTAAGTATCCGCTTATAGTGGATTGCTGCAAAATTTAAAATCTACTCCTTACTAATATTATAAATGCGAAAGTTTAGATAGATGGATGGAAGTTCCCGGAACGGATCTCGATGAATTTGGCATACATGTCGAGCATAGTCTGGAAGAAGATATAAGCTATTTACTTTTGATTTATTCTACGTAGACGGAGTCACGGGCGAAAGCTAACAAATGTTATACCTTAAAATTTTATTTATATGTTAGAACAATTAGATAACGCGCTTAGCTGCATGTTTAAATCCAGGGAGCTAGTATATATTAAATCTTATCTTGTTAGAAATGATATGT